GGGTGGGCGGCGGTCCCTCCGGCCGGGCCGGCGAGGGGGCTGGGGGCGTCGGCTGGAGCTCTGCCCGCGCCTCGGCGCCCCTCCGCAGCCATCGCAACCGCCAGCAAAGCCCTCCTGGCGGGGAGAGGGGCCGGGGGAGGGAGGGAGGGAGGGGCTTCCCCGGCGCCTCCTTCTGCAAGCGGGCGCCCGCCGGGGATCGGCTGCGAGCAGGAGCCCCGGAGTCCGGCGGGGAGAAACGGGCAGGGCTCCGGCGGTCTCTGGGGCTCAAGGCCCCCTTGGCCTTCCCGGGCCGACTCCTTGTCCAGGGGCTACCCAGACCCCCCTCGGCTCTTTCCCACGGGCTCCTGCCAAAGGAGCCCCCCACCCCCGACCCCCTTTCCCCCCAGGCCGGGAGGGCTCTGCTCTCTGGGGCAGCGGGCTTGCTTGGAGAGGGGGGGGCAGGTGCTGAGGAAGGGTCTCTTATTTTTCCCGGGCGGGGGGCACCAGCTGCGCCGGGCCGTGGAGGAACGGCAAGATCCCTCCGGGGAAAGGGGGCCACGGGGAGATCCAGCGCGCCCGGTTTTCCTGCCCCGCGGAACGAAGCAAGCGGCGCGAGGTAGGCGAGGTCAGGCGCGGCTTGGGGCGCCGCTTGTGTGATTGGGGGGGGGGGGGGGCAAGGCGTTAGCGTACCTGGCTCCCCTTGGCCGCTTCAGCACCCTGGACTTCAACTCCCAGAATTCCACAGGCCACGGGGCATTTCAGGAGAGGGAGGGGCAGGGCCTGCTGGAGCGCCTCCCCCCCAACCCAACCCGGACTCGGAGAGCCCTGAAGAGACCCAGCTCCGGAGGCTGCATTTTACTCTGTGTGTGTGTGCGTGTGTGTGTGTGAAGGCGGGAACTCTGCAGGGAGGGGGGCCGTCTTCGACCAAGGAGAAGCCCCTCTTGCCCCCCCCCCCCCACATCTGTACCCAGGTGAATTCCGGGGTCCTCATTGGGAAGAGGCGAAGAGAAACGAGCTCCGCACAACGGAGGGGCGGGGAGCCCCTGGCTGAAAGAAGGTTGGACTTCAACTCCCAGAATTCCGCGCTGGCTGTGGAATTCTGGGAGTTGAAGTCCACACTTTTTCAAGTCGTCGAGGCTGATTCAAACGAAGCTCCCGGGCGGTTTTCGCCGCCCAACTGTCCGCATCTTTCCGAGCACGCCAAGAAACCCCACCTAAATTCCCATTAAACGCGGTGGGGTGGGGTGGGGTCATCTAGCAGACCCCACGAATCTGCATGTCGCCCCCAACCAGCCACAATGTCGTTCCTGAAATAAACCAGAACCCAGAAGAACAAAAGTTGGAAGGGACCCTGGAGGTCTTCTAGTCCAGCCCCTGGCTTCCTTCCTCCTCCCCAGCCGCGGAAGGGATTTCATATATGGGAGGATGCAACCCCTCCATCCTCCCCCGCTCCTCCCTACTTTTGAGCATGAGGGGAGCCCCTTACCATGATGCCCCCCACCCCGCAGTCTGGTAGTCTGCTATTTCGACACAATTCAGCCTTCTGGGCTTCCTCAAGCCAGATTACACACACAAATACACACACACACACACGCATTAGCCTAATTCCGATGGGTGATAATAAACAGAAGGCACTCTGCACATGCTTCAGCATAAAGCACTGCCTTTAATAATGGGGATTTTTTTCTCTCTCCTTGGATTATGGGCATCTGCCAAGAGGGGAGGCTTGCTTTCCCCTCGCCCGGAGCACGTTTAGGGTGGGCCGAGGGCACGGATGCGATCCTGGACCCATGGCTCTGAGGGATCCGCGCAGATCTTTCGGTCTCTTTTGGTAAGGAATCTGCAAAGGAGAAATGTCTGTTTTTAATCAAGATTAGGATTTAACCCAGTGCGTCTCAACGTGAGGGTTAGGGTTATTCTGGGAGTTGAAGTCCACCCCTCTTAAAACGCCCAACTCTGAGACGCACTGATTTAGCATTTAGCATTTGGATGAGAAAGAAGCTCCTACCAAGTTGAACCAACTTACACAACGGCGGACGGGCTGCATCTCCCGCTGGTGTATTCAAAAGATTTCAAGAGGTTCAGTGGGATGGGGCGTTTCATGAAGCTAACGCAGCAAGCGGTGGGCAGAGGATCCACTGGGGAAGGAAAGAGAGAAGGAGTGACGTCCCACCACCACCGTTGGGTGGAGAAGCTCTCTGGCCATCCCAGAATGGGCAGGAAACGGAGATTGGCAGCTCAAGAGCAGCCAAGAGGATTGGGGGGGGGGGGGCTGGAGGCTAAAAAACATACGAAACGCAGGAACTGGGTATGGCTGGTTTAATGAAAAGAAGGACTAGGGGGGACCTGGCAGCCGTCTTCCAGTATTTGAGGGGCTGCCACCAAGAAAAGGGGGAGCCCCTTTAACTGGCTTACACACCAACCCTGTAGGAACCTTACTTTCCTTTTGGTGCGATGTGCAAGGCCTCTGATTTAGATGATGAGGCGCCCTTTTATTTGGCAACAGAGTAGAGTAGAATAGCAGGGTTGAAAGGGACCCTGGAGGTTTTCTAGTCCAACCCCCTGCTCAAGCAAGAGACCCTAGACTATTTGGCGGCTGTCCAGCCTTCTTAAAAACCTCCAGTGATGGACCCACCCACCCCTCAACGTCTGGTGGCAAGCAGTTCCACTGGTTAATTGTTCAGGAAGTTTCTCCTTAGCAGCGTCTCCCACAGGGTCTCCGAGTCGGCTTCCTACAGGTCATGCCGGCATGTCGCTCCTAATAAATCTCTGGGAGTTTTTCCGGCTGCTGCTTCCTGACAGGGAGGACAATTAACCAGGGGAACTGCTTCCCACCAGAAGCTGTGAATCCTCCAACACTGGAAGTTTTTAAGAAAAGGCTGGGCAGCCACTTGTCAGCAGGGCTCTCCGACCGTGGCCACTTTAAGACTTGTGGACTTCAACTCCCAGAGCAAAGCTGGCTGAGTCCACAAGTCTTAAAGTTGCCAAGGTTGGAGAGGTCTCCTTCTTAGCCATGGGGTTGGACTAGAAGACCTCTGAGGTCCCTTCCAGCCCTACAATTCTATTTTCCCTGTTCTCAAAAGGGGCGGAGGGTCTCCACAAACCCAGCAGGAAAGAGCTCCCTTCCGGAGGCCGCCCAACTTGTGCGTGGATTGGACTGACCGCACCCCGTCTGGATGACCCTCCCAGCCGGAGCCCTTCCCCGCCCCAAGCAGGGTGGTTGCTCGGCTCAGACCCTCCTGCAACCCTCCGGCCTGGGGTTCCTGGGGTCCCCAGCTGTGCCCCATTGCGTGGCTCCTCTCTCCTGGGGAGAGGGGCGCCTGCCTTGGACCCCGTCTGCCGTTGGGGCAGCGTCTCCCACAGGGTCTCCGAGTCGGCTTCCTACAGGTCATGCCGGCACGTCGCTCCCAATAAATCCCTGGGAGTTTTTCCGAAGCTCCGGGCTTAGGATTTAATTTGGGCGATCGCCGGAACCCTGACACTCTGCCTGTCTTCACCCCGGTCTGGCTCATGGCTGCGAGCTGAGTGGCCTGGAGAATTCCCGGGTCTTGGGTCGCAAGAGAGGAAGCCCAACGGCCTGAAGGACTCACTGGGACGCTCGACTGCCAGGGCGACGGAGACCACCAGGAACAGGAAGGCGAGGACGGTCTTCATCTTCGAAGAGGGCAGGAAGGGCAGCTCCGGTCTTATCTCTGTGGCATCAGCAATGCCTTTTTATGCAAACCGACAGAGGCAGCCACGGGAAACACGTGGTGGGCTCCACCCACGGGCTGTGGCCACAGAGCTGTGGGGGCCAGGGAGGCTCCCAAATAACATATAGTCAGAGTTGGAAGGGAGGCTCCCAAATAACATATAGTCAGAGTTGGAAGGGACCTTGTAGGTCATCTAGTCCAACCCCCCGTGGCCCAAGCGGGAGACCCTACACCATTTCTGACAAATGGCAGTCCAGTCTCCCTTTGAAAGCCTCCAATGCTACGGACGAGGCTTTCGCACACCGAAACAAGGTCAGGGCTGAAACTGACATGGTCGAGGGCTTGAACAGGGGGCTGGACTGGAGGACCTCCCAGGTCCCCCCTTAAGCCACCTCAATGGAACCCCACAAGGGCTTCCTAAACGGAAGAAGTCAGCGTAGATCCACCCAAAGTGGAGCAATTGAGACCCTCTACAGCCCTGTGACTAGCTTAACAATTCCTGGGATTCACTTTACAATGGAGGCAAGCAAGGCCATAAAAGGGGGCAAAACTCACTTAACGGATGTCTCACTTAATGACAGAAATGGCGAGGGCCCACTCCTTGGTCCTGGTACTGACTGGGGTTTTGGCTCCACAGCTGCCTGTATTTTATGGACAGACGGACATCAAAAATGGAACAGAAAGGAAATGCGGACTATGGAATCTATTTGATGGGCGGCTGGAGAGCTGAGACCCAGAAGCCACCGGGGCACCTCCTGGAGCACGGGTGCCAAGTGGGCAGGCCAAGGTGTGCCCACTGGCGCCTCTGCGGCTGCCTTTGAGACCAATGGAAATTTCTGGGTGGTTTCCAAGGGCGGCCCCCTGTAGAGCACGTTGCGGTAGTCTAGCTCCAAGGAGACCGTCCCTGGGGGGTTGTCTGAAGGCCCGTCTCATCCAGGAAGGCTCCTGAGGGGAGCAGCAGGCAGAGCTGGCCAAGCACATGGATGGCCACGCCGTGCAACATGGACTTCCTCGCGGTTGAACAAGCAACTGAGGCCCAGTTTACGTATAGCGGTATTTGGGGTTGGACTTTGTCTTCCCTCCCATCTTACTCCCTTACTTCATGGTCTGACTTGCTTTCTAGGGGTTTTTGCTGGGAATTAAGGTCCTGGGGGTCCTCAAGATTGGCCTCCCTCCCCCCAATTTTAGTTTAAAGCCCTCCTGATAAGTTGAGCCAGTCATTTCCCAAAGACAATCTTGGTGAGGTGCAACCCATCCCTTGCCAGCAGCCCATCATGGAGACAGCACAGACCAGGAATCCAAAGGTTTTTTTGGGGGGGGGGGACACCAACCCTTTAGCCAGTGGTTCACTTCTAGAATTTGTTGTTCTCTTACTGGACGTTGTCCTTTCGTTGCCCTTCTTGGTTTACAAGGAATGCAGCTCTCAGCATATTAAAAACGGCTTCAGCAAAATGTTGACTTTGGGGAAAGTTCCAGAGCTGGTCAGACAGAGGAACTTTGAAAACAAGACAACAATGAGCAGAAATCAGGAGGTTGGTGGGGTGCCCAGGAATTGATCTTGCTGGCTTAGCATATCTCCTGTTTTGATCAAACGGCTTCCTGAAAAGATTGTGAAATTGTTGTCAATAGAAAGTATCTTGGTTTGAGCCAAAGCACTTGATAAGGCATCTCGCAGCATCCTTTTTTGCAAGCTCGGTTTTTTGGGCTGCAGAGCAGGAGGACGAAGGAGATCTCAGGCCCCTGGCTGGCTGGCTGGCTCCCCAGAGGCCCCCCCACAGCCACCCTGGGGGGGGGGGGCAGGCGCCAGGCATTCCCCTCGGCTCCTCCCCACTTCCAGGTTTTCATGCATGGTGAGAGGTGGAGGAGAGGCTGGCCAGGTGAGCAGATCACACAGAATTGTGTGAGATGGTTAATATTCTACAAAACAAACTCAAAACCACCTTGATAAGCTGCGGAGCTGGGCTGAAAGTAGTGGAATAAAACATGACAATTTCCTTTGCAATCGGAATAGAGGAGGAAGGGACCTTGGAGGTCTTCTAGTCCAACCCCCTGCCCAAGCAGGAGATGCTATACCATTTCAGATAAGTGGCTGTCCAGTCTCTTCTTCAAAACCTCCAGGGATGGAGAACCCACAACTTCTGGAGGCCAGCAGTTCCCCTGGTTAATTGTCCTTCCTGTTAAGAAGTTTCTCCAGGTTGCTTCTCTCCTGGGTTAGTTTCCACCTGTTGCTTCTTCTCCTGCCTTCTGGTGCTTTGGAGAATAAATTGACCCCCTCCTCTTCTCTGGGGCAGCCCTCCAAACATTGAAACATTGCCATCATGTCGTCCCCCGCCCCCAGTCCTTCTTTTCTCTAAACTAGCCAAACCCCAAATCCTCCAACCGTTCTTTGTATGCTTTTTTTAAAAAAGTTTTTTTATTTGTATAACGAAAACAAAAACAAACCAATAAAACCATTTTTCTGTTCAACAGTGTCTTGGTTGGGTACGTATACCTTGTGCACATAGTAATATCGTCATACATTTCTTACTTGTTTATATTTACAAACCATTCTAAGTATTTTATATCACATTTGTCAATTATTGTATTATCATTAACATTGTAATTATTGTCTTTCAAAAATATATTTCATCCTTACCTAAATTATATTCATTCTCTTACTCAATCTAACTCAATCAAGTATAATACTGTATATTATACTATTATTACATATTTCAATTTCTTGCTCTTCTATCTAGCCATTCATAGAATAAATTCCAAATTTTATAATAATCTTTTTCTTCCTGTTCTCTAATTGCCATTGGCAATCTACACATTTCTGCACATTCCATTATTTTCTTAATTGTTTCCTCTTCCATTGGAATTTTCTAATTTTTCAATTTTGTGCAAATACAATCCTAGCTGCTGTTAATACATTAATAATCAAATATGTTAACTCTTTATTGTAACCTTCAGGCAAAATTCCCAATAAAAATGTCTCTGGTTTTAAATCTTTACATTGTTTTATCATTTTTTCCAACCACACGTGTATTCTAGTCCAATATTTTTTAGCATCAGTGCATGTCCACCACATATGGTAGTATGAACATCTTAGCAATTCTCACTGGGGGTAAGTACCACCTGTAAAACATCTTATGCAAGTTCTCTTTATAGGCTGTTGACATAGTTAATTTATAGTTTCTAGTCCATAGTGTCTGCCACCTGTCCAAATCTATCCCATATCCAAAGTTTTTCCCTCACGCGATCATTGATTCTTTTACTTACTCTTCCTCTAAATTCACTCCTAGTAAATAACCATACAGTTTTTTAATCAACTTCTCTTCAGTGCCTGTTAAGATTTTATCTAATTCAGTCAATTACTTGTAAAACCCAGCCATCTTAATATCTTTTTCATACCTTGTATGTA